CTCGTCCATCCGTTTTTCTCAGACTAGCCAGCTAAAGATCTATGTACAGTACTCCAAATAAATTAATCTAAAAAATTTGAATTATCATTTTATTTTCTTTTTGAGTTGTTTGCTATAGTAGCAGTTACCTAATTTCAGAATCAATAGAGCATGAAAGACAATTAAAATTTGCAACATCAACATTTTTTTTTCGTTCTGAGCACTTTTGGACACCACCAATGGAGACAATTAGGAAGAAATTTTTTAACTTCCTGTCTTTCAAACTGAAAATCTCAGGTTGATATTTTGAAACATACGTTTGTGACATCAATCCGGGATGTTATTGGTTTTTCCATTTAGTTAAGTCAGGGATTTTTTTACCCTTTGATTCCAGGGGCCGGGGCCATCAAAATTGGGAAAAATAGCAATATTTGGTTTAAATTGGGAAAAATATTTTCATACAAATAAAAAGGAAAAAAAAAGAAGCAAAACTCAACTATTTAATCTTTTTTCTTATCTTTAATTGTATAAAACTGGCTTCAGTCAGCTTTACTGCTAATAATAAAAGCGGCTGTTGAAGTTAAGGGGCTTACAAATGGCAAAGCTGCAGAGTATGATAAAATTGTAAATGAACATATTTATACGTTGTCATCTTTTTTACCTTTATTTAAAAAGTTTGTTAAAAAATAAAAGTTGATAGTAGTTTTGTTCCTGATGAGTGATTAATCAGTACTGATTGACCAGTTTATAAGAATAAGACTCAAGAGCGATTTTACCCAGCCTGAAAAATGCCGTCCGATGCAAACTGGAGAGACTGCCATGATATACATGTACATTAATTTATTAAATGACGATCCCGACTTTAATTTTTCAACATCGATCCCGCTATAAAAACATCGGTAGTATTCCGAATGACTTCTCAGAGCTTCTCGGATGGCTCGTACATCGCACATAGGGAACATAATACCCGTTTTTCATTATTTTATTTAAATAATTTGCAACTTAATATTTTTTTTCATTTTGGGAATTTTTAGGTATAATTCTGGGAAAAACATGCACTTTTCAGCATTGGGAATGGGGCCGAATTTCGGCCCCAGAGAGACCCTAAAAAAATCCCTGTAAGTACTACAAAAAGTCAGTGTGTCTGCTTCTTCGCTGATGACTTTCAACGAGTATGCATACTTACTTTAATATCATCACTGTATGCATTTTGTGTTATTCTACACTGTACAGTATATTCCATGGAAGCATGCTAACCGCTTTTCAGTACTTTCAGTACTTTGATTGTCCATATGGCAGTAATGGGGCTAAATATCATATTGATTCTTATAGTTATCTTTTACCGATGTCATGAGATACCTGAAGATGAAATCAGCAGCAGCCTTCAAATAATACAGGTTAACAGTAAACGCGCTTTTAACAAGTGACAGAAGAGGATATTCAACTCTTTCAGTTGGAAATTAACTTTTCTTTACGTAGTTGTTTGATAACTTCAAAACAGTAAGCCTAAAAAAAACTTATTTTAGGAGTTCAATGATTTCTAAATCTGATAGTAAAACTGTAGTTTTTGTTTCAACAATTTATTCTGTAATTCCTTTAATTTACCATTGTCTTTTAACCCAATGTCATAAGTTGATATGTCATTGGAATTTGTAACCATAGAAACTAAGGCAGTTTATTCATGGTAGGATTGTTTATTTTCTCTCAATAGCTATGGAATCAACATTCTTTAAATACATATAAAACCCTGCATATAAGGAAGGAAAAAGGAGATATATTTTTTATCTTCCAAGTAAAATTTATCACTTAGATATTTTCACGGTGACAGAAACACTTCAAAGGTCAAGGGATGAGTGTAACAGTAATTTTTTGTTGTTGTTGAAAATGTAATAAGAATTTGTATATGCACTCCAATCCATTTTTTTTAATTCAATAATATGTCTATGTCGAATTTAATTTAATATATTAACAAACTCGTTACGAACACAAATGAATGGAGTTTATAAATTGTAAGTTTTTCTTTTGTGTTTCTTTGAAGTCATTTTTTTTCAATTTCCCTTTTTGTCTAAGTAACGCAATTTCGTTTTTTATATTTTGAGACAAAGATCTTTATAAAGTTTGCAAACATATACCTTGCACACATTCAAGTTGTCATTGAAAATGGTTGAAAAATATTATTTACCTATCTTCCGATATAATCAAGAATCATTTGTCTGTTGCATAATATGAGAACTCCCTTTACAATAGAGAGATCTTTATGCAGCTATTATCTAATGAGTCACAAGAACGTTCTTATTGACTCATTTTGTTTGAATAATGCTTTGCAGGAGACATCAAATGAAACTTGAGACCAAATATGTTTTTACGTTGCCTGGAGATTCTTTGTTAAACAATTTGTTAGCTCATGATAACAAAATCAATTTTAACTTTTAAAGAGTTTATCAAATTAACAAGGAGAATTTACTTAACGAACCCAAAAAGTTCTTATCAAAAATTAAGAAATTTGAACATTAAACTTTTTAATCTTTACAAACAACGAGGGATTGTTTGTAAAAGCAAATTTATGATAATCCTTAGCAACACGTACAGGCAATTAACAAACAATATTCATAAATCAGTTCTATGTGAAAAGACATTATATAAAATCAACCTCTTTGCTCCCTCTTTTAGCTCACCTGAGCCGAAGGCAGCTTTTCTGCATGATCACATTTTGTCTGGCGTTGTCTGTCTGTAAACTGTTCACATTTTCGATCTCTTCTCAAGAACCACTGGACCAATTTCAGCCAAACTTGCCACAAAGTATCCTTGAGTGAAGAGGATTCAAGTTTATTTAAATAAAGGGAGAAAATTAAAAATTAGTGAGAAAGTAATGGCATCTTTTAAAAATCTTCTTCTCAAGAACCACTGGGCCAGGAAAGATGAACCTTATATGGAAACATTTTCATGGAGTAGGTTCAAATTTGTTCCAAATCATGACCCCCGGGGCTACGGGGGAAGGGGGCTTTTTGGTCGATCAAAGTTTTACATAGGAGTATACAGGAAAATCTTTAAAACTCTTCTCAGGAATCACCGGGTCAGGAAAAATGAAATTTATATGGAAACATCCACATGTAGTATAGATTCAAGTTTGTTAAAATCATGACCCAAGAGAATAGGGAGGGGCAAAAATGACCGATCAAAGTTTTACATAGGAATATATACAGTATAAAGTAAAGATCTTAAAAATCTAAATAACCATTGGCCCGGGAAAGATAAAACTTATCTGGAAACATCCTCATATAGTGTAGATTCAAGTTTATTCAAATCATTAGGTCGGGGGTCGGGCGGGGCTACAATTGCCGATCAAATTTTTACATAGAAATATTTAAGAAATATCTTTAAAAATCTTCTTCTTAAGAACCAGTAGGCCAGGAAAGATGAATCTAATAATATGGACACATCCACACATAGGCTAGATTCACATTTAATTGTTCGAATAATGACCCCAGGGGGTAGGGAGGGGCTACAATGGCCGATCAAAGTTTTAGATAGGAAGATATAGTAAAAATCTTTGAAAATCTTCTAAAGAACCACTGAGCCAAGAAAAATTAAACTTTTTTCGAAACATCCTGATATTGTGTAGATTCAAGTTTGTTAAACTCATGAACTCTGAGTGTGGCGGGGACACAATGGCTGATCAAAGTTTTATATAGAAACATAAAACAAAAAAATCTTCTTCTTAAGAACCACTACGCCAGAAAAGATGAAACTTATGTGAAAGCATCCTCATATAGTGTAGATTCAAGTTTATTAAAATCATAAACTCGGGGGGTGCCGGGGCCACAATTTTCATTCTAATTTTTTCCTTCACAGAAAAAACTGTGCATTCAAAGAAAAATGATTCAGGGTCGTATCACGTCGAGTTGACAGGCGCGGATCATCAGATCAAACGAGACGCGAAGCGTCGAGTTTGATTTTACGATCCGCGCCTGTCAACGAGACGTGATACGGCTTTTCGGATCAAGTTATTGTTATAATGATAAATTTATTATATACCTCCTTGTCACTAGCTAAATATCGCAAAATAAAGCTTTAGAGATCAATTGCATACTATTTAACTATAAAACAGAGCATATTAACAATGGACTTTTTAACGCGCAAGAAAAATAACATCTTGTTTTTGTGTACTACGTCATCAGTTTCAGAGAATGGTGATATGGATTCAGAAACCACAGTGTGGTGATCCGGGAAGTAGGATCACATCGTCACATGATCGCGTAAATTCAACAGTAAAATTGAGTGATACACATTAGGTATATAATAAAAGAACGCATAAAGTGAATTATGATGAGAGTATTGTGTGATAGTTTTTCTTCACAGATCCTAACATAATAAGTACTTGAAAGGTAAGTAATAACTGGTGTATTGATTAAGAAACATTATTTATGTTCCTCTATTATTAATGCAAGACCGAAACCAAGTCAACTGAGATAGTTTTTTAATGGATTAAAAATAAAATAACAACAGTAGTGAAAGTGAAAAAAATGTCATTTATAGAAGTAAATGACGCAAAACAAAAATATAAACATATTATAAGGGGGTCAGACAAGACTAGAAAAAACTTCGAAAGAATACAAAAATCTTTCGTATCATATTATGCAATCTGACCCCCTAAAATTAAATATAGCATAAAGCATGCACTGATATGCCTGTCATCAAAAAAGGAAACATTATTCTATTTCTTCACTTCAATCTTCAGATTTTGATATTTTTATCCCTTGTTTAGAAATTGATGATTTCGATTTGTGCAATGAAAACAACGATCAGTAATCAACCTCGGAAGCTTATTAAATCAACTGGAATTGTGGGCAGAGCAAACACAGTTTTCTCAAAGTTACAGCAGTTGTGTTCTCCTATTCATGATCGAATTAACTGAAAAAAATTCTATAATATTCTCTTTTGTAATGTTTTTCAAGAACAAACTACGTTTGAACATTTTATACTTTACAGAAATCTTTACAAGATCAGTGAACTTTGGGGAAAAACATTTTTAAACTCTTTGTTTTCCGACCCCATTGCAACTACAAACCTTGTGTCATTTGAATAGTACTTCCTGTCCTAAAGTAGGTATGATAAGTATTTTACGATTAACTCTTATTTACATCCTGCTTCTTTTTATTTTCTTTTTTATATAGATTTTACAAGAATTTCCATTATGAAGTATGTATTCATTTTTATTCCACTTATCAACTTTCCCATTGCAACATCATTCTACACTACAAGAGAAACAGACGATTTAACTTCAGACTTGCGGAAAATAACCATTCATCGAGGTACTGGGGAAATTTATGTTGGAGGGAAAAACTCTCTTTTACGATTTAATTCCAAATTCGAAAATGGCACAAGCATTTCTTTTAGAAAGACGTATTGTGTGCAAAATCAAATCAGTGTTTGTGGAAATGAAACAGTTCTGGACGATATTGTGGAAGTCTTGGAGTATTTGCCAGAAAAAAATAAAATACTGATGTGTGGTTCATTGGAACATAAAAGTTGTAATTTACTGTCTGGAAAAGAAATATTGCCATTATCCGATAAGAAAGAAAACCATATAGACAGCAGAAAAGGTTCCATATTTCTTCCAGTTCGTAGGGGGCGGTCTTGGGTTTACTTTATAGGAACAAGTTGGGATGGAAGGAATTTAGTGGAAAATGAATTTTCCATCAACAAATTATATAATGATGGCTTTTTTTACGAGTCCTTGTACTCTAAAATTGGACTTTGTGACCGGGAACGACGAGCCTCGAATCTAACATTTGTATATGGATTCCAAGATGAAGAATTCATTTATTCCATTTATTTGAAAATAAGAATGGAAAATACAAGAAATTATACTGAAACTAAAATATCTCGAATTTGCAAGAATGACGATTACATGGGTTCATTTAGTGAAAGAATATTGTCATGTAATCAACATAACATTGCTACTGCTGCATATTATTCGGTTAATGTGTCGTCTCTATATGTGGCATTTGGAACTGGAATCCATTCATTAGAAGCTCTCCCTTCATCTGTTTTGTGTAAGTTCACCATCAAGGAACTCTCAAGAATGTTCATGCATACTTACGTGAGTTGTTTTTCACATCTTCAGAAGAATGGCTATTCGCCTCCCCGCTGGAGTAACTGTGGAAATAATAAATGCAACAAGAGCCCTGACGTGAGTTATATTCTGATAAAAAGTAGCAAAGTAAATTAATAAAAACAACTAATTTCTTCGTTTAAAATCCTTGTATGTGGTATTTGGGTGGTTTAGAGATAACAGTTTTTTTTTCAATTATAACGTTAATATTTTAGATTTCGGCATGGAGTATTTGCACAAGTAAACTACGTCTTTTAGATGGAATTGAAAGTGTAGAACCCATGCCTGGAAGTCGAACCGAGATCTACAGACACGAGAAGAAATTATTTACAAGTGTTTTTTCAAATAAAATAACAGAAAATCAAAGACCTACAGTATGGATTGGAACTAACGAGGGCTATCTCCTAAAAGTATTTTATTTATAAATTTTCTGGATATAAACCTTATCATGAAAATATAAAGTATCCCATGCTTTTGTCTGCAAAATTACAAGAACTAAATTAAACAAAATACAATCAATCATACAGTGTATATCATGCTTTAACTAACCCTGAGCAACTATATGTAATAAGAATGGTGTTTGTAAATTCTAAGAACTTTATTTGTTTCATAGGCATATGTATATATGCATGCTAATTGTTAGGCCATTATTCACACAATGAATTGTCGACGGATTTTCTCTTTCTTTCCCAATCAAGACGAAGAGCACATGGTGGGTTTGACCGGTCGGCACCTGATCCCCCTCTCATTTTGGGGGTCAATGTTTGCTCTGCTCCAAATTTTGTATTGTTTACTGGACTTCTTAGCTTGAATACAATTTGTCATCTCCAGATATTCCATACATTGATTTTTCTTTTATAAGGTAGATAGTACATCATTTTCTGGACCCAGGGTTGTCGCCGAATTTGATGTTACAAAAAATAGGAGTGTAAAGATTGAATCTGATGTAGAGGTTGAAGAGGGAGGGAAGTATGCCTACATTCTCTATGGTAATAAGGTAGGGGTCACATAATTAAAACTTTAAGGGCAATAAAATGACTATATCCTAGCTGCTACGTGAATACGTGAATGTTCTTATCTAGAAAAAACTTGGCGCCGAACAAAAGTACAAAAATATCCTTTTACTGATGATTTCCGTACGAATTGTGCAAACAACAAAGAAGAAGATTTTTGTCGTTTAGACCAATATAATTCATGAAATATTCGAGACCTCGTATTTTTCCCGAATAATTTTTGTAAATTATTTTAACTGCGATAGATTTCAATAATTTTCCCAATAATCTTCCTAACTCAGGTTTCCAAATTTCCTCTTGATACCTGTCAAATACACACAAACTGTGGTGACTGTGTTCTTAGTGGCGATCCTTTGGAATGTGGTTGGTGTAAAGATATTTGCCTGAAGAAAGACCAGTGTAAGACCACTTGGTACAATGATAGCTGCCCGCCATTTATACACGAGGTAATATACTTACCTTTGACTTGAACAATATTTTTGAAATTAAGAAATGAAAACGGGTAGAATAAATCAGATATAAGTTGGTATTTTTCTAACCTTGGAAGTTTGAATACATTTGAAATTTGCAATCTGATTAACTGGAATATGCTTCCTGTAGCTAGCATTCGGAACTAGTATATTTTTTAAGTAATACAACATCTGTTGCAAAGAGTTACATGCTCTCTGTGCTTTTTTAATACCAGGTTCTCCCCACCAGTGGGCCAACAGATGGTGGAACTGTTCTTAGTTTAAAAGGAGAGTATTTTGGGTCTCCAAATCTCAATTCTCCCTCCGTATCTGTAGGGAAAATAAAATGTGGAAATATCAAATGGAATGATAAAAAGTAATTAGCTTTTTAAAAAATTATTTTTATCAAACCTCTTTTAATGTAAGATAAACAAAAGATTTGACACACAAAATATAATTATAAAACCTTCATCTTATAGCTTCCTGATAAAATTTTATGAATTAAGTCTCTCTCTCTCTCTGAGTTAATAGTATATCCTTTTAATTTATAAACAGGTAGTCTTCAAATTATAGGTTAATAATGAATAAAATAACTCTTTTATCTGTGCTTTTGCTCACCATTTTTTGTTTTTTTTCCATAGCATTCAATGTGTCCTCCCGATGTCAAAACGCTTTACTGGAGTAGTCATTGTAGAGATATTTCCTCAGAATTCAACACACGGATATAAAATTAAGGGAAATTCAGAAATTGGCATTTACAATTTTTCCTTCAAGGTATACTATCATATCTGTTGAAATAATAGAGAAAATCTTTAAGTCCAAAAAATATGTTTATTGTTTGACAGGAACAATTAATAATAAGAATTTGAAATCTTCCAACAACGGACTTTTAAGAAAGGATTAAAATTCATTTTCAAATTTTTCGAACCCGATTAAATGATTGACAATATTGAATAGTATTTGTATAAACTCCATGTACAAAAATGAAAATTACATAGGTCCCAGTTGTGATGTCCATGAGTCCAACATATGGTCCACAACACGGAAATACCATTGTAACAATCATCGGTGAAAATCTGGACATTGGATCGAAGACTTATTTGTCAATGTGTAAAATCATATGGTAAAGTTACTTTCTACGTAAAAAAATGCTTTATTTCATTTTTTTTAATTTCAATAAGTACACACATTCTATACTTGTCAAAATTTCTAAGTCCCCACTTTTATTTTTTCAAAAAGTCCAAAACCTTAACATCAATGTACTAGTTGCTTACAATTTTGCCTTTAATTTGCAAGACTTACCTGTTAAGGCCAAAAATTGTAATTGAATGTTTAATTACTCGTCCTTGACCGTTTTTGTTAAAAAGTAGGAAGTTCGAGTTTCATATGTTTTTCGGGTGTATTCCTCATAGTTTTTACTTCCATGTGTTCTCCATCTTTAATTGATAAAGAAAAACAGAAAAAAAGTTTGATTAAAATGCGGTGTATGTCCCCACAACAATATGAAAGTGAAGTTGAAATGGCCCAAGCTGGTCGTAGTTGACGAGAGTTCTGTTTCCTTTCACTGTATGACTTTATTTTACTTAAA